GTATATGTATGTATATGTATGTATATGTATGTATATGTATGTATATGTTTGTATATGTATGTATATGTATGTATATGTAGGAATGTGTATGTATGTGTATGTATGTGTATGTATGTGTATGTATGTGTATGTATGTGTATGTATGTGTACGTATGTATGTATGTATATGTATGCATATGTATGTATATGTACGTATATTTATGTATATTTATTGATATTTATGCATGTTTATTGATATTTATGTATATTTATGTATAATTATGTATGTATGTGTATTTATGTCTGTATGTATATTTATGTATGTATGTATATTTATGTATGTATGCGTATGCATGTATATTTTTGTATGTATGTGTATTTATGCATGTATGCATGTATATTGATGTATGTATGTATGTATGTATGTATGTATGTATGTTATGTAATGTATGTAATGTATGTAATGTATGTAATGTTATGTAATGTTATGTAATGTAATGTATGTAATGTAATGTAATGTAATGTAATGTAATGTAATGTAATGTAATGTAATGTAATGTATGTAGGTCTGTAGGTCTGTATGTCTGTCTGTATGTATGTTTGTATGTCTGCATGTCTGTATGTATGTCTGTATGTCTGCATGTCTGGATGCCTGTATGTCTGTATGTTTGCATGTCTGTATGTCTGCATGTCTGTATGTCTGTATGTCTGCATGTCTGGATGTCTGTATGTCTGTATGTATGTCTGCATGTCTGCATGTCTGTATGTCTGTATGTCTGTATGAATGCATGTCTGTATGTCTGCATGTCTGTATGTCTGCATGTCTGGATGTCTGTATGTCTGTATGTTTGCATGTCTGCATGTCTGCATGTCTGTATGTCTGTATGTCTCTATGTATGCATGCATGCATGCATGCATGTATGTATGTATGTAATTATATATATATATATTATAATATATTATATATGTATATATTATAGATAATTGACACATACATAAATGTTTATATATATATATATACATTTACAGTATACATTTACAGTATAGTAGTATACATTTACAGTATATATATATTGTATATCATATATATAGTCAACATGTGAATCGACCCACATACATGCTGTACACACCAATTTTAGATAGTTTTAGGTGTTGTAAGTGTTTTAAATCCTATTTACGTCAGGGAACATCCCATTAGCAACTACAAGAGGGGTTACCAACCATCTGAACACAGTGTGACGGTGTAGTTTTTCAATAGTCGACGAAACTTTTGTGGAATATGTGATCGAATATGTCATATTGTAGGAAACTCAATCCCATCAACCTACCATTTGGGTCATGGTATCAATTCCAGCCACAGGACTGAGGCCGAAGCTGAAACGTTAGCTCGGATGTTGGTCCAGGTCGGGCATGGCCAATGGTGGTGGTGCCAGGGGTTGCCTTTTTTGACTTTTTTAAGATCCATGTGATTTGCCAATGAACATGCTGATCTTCGCATATCTGGTTGGTGGTTTCAAACATGTTTTATTTTTCCATATATTGGGAATAGTAACCCCAACTGACGAACTTATATTTTCAGAGAGGTAGGTATGCCACCAACCAGATATGAATTGACAAAGGTGAGAGAGTCGCAAGTTTCTTGAGTTCCAACTGGCTAACCTTCCCAGACATCTGATTTGGTTGTGCCTGAATGGAGGTCCCGGCACCAAATTCCGGGCCGCAGCCTGTGAAAATAGCGGCTTTTGGGACCTGGGTTGGAAGATGTTTCGGATTGGAGATTCTCTATTTTGAAATGGCCGTAAGATTCAGAGATTGGTGGAATTATTGTAATTTATCCAGGTGGACTGGTGGGGGGTTCACTAATAACACTTTATTGTGTTTCGAGCATTCAAAAAGGGATTATTGGTTGAGATGGGGAACATATTTTGCAGATATTTGGTAAAGCCACCAACCAGTTGTTGTGTAATTTCACTTTTTTTTGCCGAAATTAAATGTTGGTGGATCATATTCATGACGGTCACATACGGTCGCTCAAGATGACCAATGACCACCTAGCGCCAGGGGGTGCGCTGCAGGAGTCAAATCAGTCAGACATTCTGCGTTCTGGGGAGATTAGTGGCAACGTTGAGCTTCCCACAAGCGCTTTGGGATTGAATACTGTATCAAGTTGCGGAAATTTAGCATAACTATGGAACATATTTGAAACCATTTGTAGATGATGTACATTGATTTACCTATTAAAAATGGTGACGTTCAATAGCTATATTAAATTTCCAGAGGGTACACTGTACAAATGCTTAGTTAGTTACGCAGTATACCAGGTCATCCTTATCCTCTGGTAAACAAACATAGCTATTGAACATGGCCATTTATAGTTGATTTACCCATTAAAAATTGTGATTTTCGATCGTTATGTTAGTTTACCAGAGGGTAAGAATACCACTCTCCCCACTTCCCTTCAAGGGTGGTTTAAGGAGCAGCCTCCAGTAGACTTCGTCCATCGCCAGGGTGTCGTGAGAATTCTGCAAAACCGGCAGAGGGCCAACAAGGGCGTTGGAGCCTGAAATTGAACTGCTGGCTGGTCTGGCTGGTGTCATATGTATACAATGTGTACATATATATATATATATATACATACATACATATATATATATGTATATTGTAGTATATATACTTTCCAAATGTGCTTATTTAGTTCTTCATCTCCATTTGGAAAGATCGACCCCAAGTGGGCCAAAAAACGACGAAAAGTTCCATGGTGAATCTCTGGCCATAGCAGGCCAGGTGATCAGTTTTAGGATCAGCTGCTTGGGTCCATCACGAGTGGATACTTCCCTCCGGTTCCTGAGTCCTGTTTTTTTGTGCTGAATTATAACATTTTTTCAGGGATAATGATAATAATGATATTCTGGAATAAATGATTTTCCGAAGCACCTTCGGCGTGTTCCGCGGGCCACCATGGAAAAAGCTATCCTGTAGGCTGCAAACAGCCCTTGCACAGGCCCAGCAAAGGCATGGTTTTTGTGTAAAACATGGTGTTTGTGGATAACACAGTTTTTGTGTAAAACAGCTCTTTGTGTAAAAGATGGTTTGTTCAGCATGTGTGTAAACCAGGGTTTTGGAAGAGGTCATATTGAGAACGGCTTTGGAAAAGGCTATATTTAGAAAGGTTATGCGTGTAATAGGTGTTCGGCACAAAAGCCATCAAGTCTTGGATATAAGAAGCGACGGAGCAAACTGATGGCAAACACAACAAAAAAAACGGAAACAACCATCAAAATGACAGCAAGATGGCCAAGCCGGTGTTGAGCGAGGCGTGGGCAGAGTTAAGCCCACCACAACGTAAGGAAAGATCAAGACGAAACGAAGAAGAGCTAGGTGGGGAAGGGGGGGTTAAAGTTAGACGAGGCAAAAATCCGCGCCAAGGGGAAAGTCTAGGCAAGACAAAGACAAAACAGACAGTACAACTACGAACAAGCAAGATCCACAAGACACACCGGCAGGCCAGCGGATTCACTACTGATAGTTTTGAATAAATACAGATTGCCGTACCAACAACTCCAGAGCTGCATGGATCCTGGTATCTTTGACTGCGGTTCCGAGCAGCACGTCGGATGGGCCCCCATTTTATGGCCATCAAACAATGAAACTGATGATCAACCGATTGATTTGGGGCACATTTGGGCACGCTATTTTCAGGCGAAACTATATTTCAGAGCTTTCAATGCAGTAAGTCCTTGTGTGTTTAAACAGGAAGGGGGCCTTGCAATTAAAACGGGGTTGCAAGGGGTCGATGATGATTTCCAGCTATTGCTGCTGGCTTTTCTTCCAGAGATGCATTTTGCTCACGATTTCTCAGACATGTTTGTTCTTCCAAATTGGCAGGATTGATTCAAACACTGCTGTCCTTTAGGGAGATAGATGTTCAGGTTTACTCCCCACTGGTTGATTTTGTGTGTGTTTCTCAGGCCCTACCCATGAGCGAATTGGAAAACGAGTTCAAGGCTGGCTGTGAAGGGCATCCGGCCATCAAAACTTGAGGCCATGCAAACAGGCACCACAGATCTTGGATGATCTACCAGTCTTGAGATTGACTGGAGGAATACATGGAAATATCAAGCTTTGCGCGTAGATGTTTGAAACGAAATGAATCCATTCTTGTGAATAAAAACTGTATATACACTGCTGAATAGTTGTCAAATCGAATACCAAGTGAGTAGTGAAACTGTGACAGTGAGTCAAGCCCCAACACCGCATGAAGGACTGTCAACCTAATTAGTTTCAATGTGACGATGGCAAACCAATTCAACCTAAAGAATGTATGCTTACGGTTCAAGACGTCAAATGGGATGGTTGATATCCTTAGAAACTAGTCGATCTGTGGTGCAACTTTTGAATGGAAATTATGACCCAAACTCAACTGCCCAGAAATCCGACTCGTACAGTAAATGTCAAGTAAATTCAAAGTAAATGTTCGACGAAAATACTATGTATGAAGATCAGCAAACACAATGGTTGTTGGACTAAAAACATCCCCTTTTGTTTTCTTCTGCTTCGTTGATGAATATTGGGGTTGACCATGGTTAACCCTGGAACGTTAGGAGCTGTGGAAGGTGCCATTCAATGTGAAGCAGGCGGCTGTCGGGGTTGGCTTGCAACATGTTCGAAACATGGTACTGGAAGTTTGTTTGGTGTTGGTGTTGTTGTTGTTGTTTTAATCAGACAGAACAATCTAAATTTATATACATAATATATACATATACATACATGGGAAGAATATATGTTGGAATTCCCTCTTGTTATGTTTCATGGTTTTAGCTTTTATTATTGTTTCACTGCAGTGGAATGTTTTTTTTGCGTTTCAGCCCCAGTACAATTGAACTGGTTTTGGCCTGGATTGATGATTTTGGCTCACACAATGGATGGTTTACTCTGATGTAAAAGCTCTGTTTGAAGGCACTGAGTTGAGTAATCCAAGACTCGAAAACTGAACGCTAAGCAGACCAGTTTCAACCGTACTCTCTGAGAAATGGTTTGTTCAAGCAGTACCACATGTCCGGAGCTGCGATTCCGGTCATTCCTTGGGATTGTACTATGAATCTCGGCAAGTCATGTAGTGTCCTTAGTGGCATCACCATACAAAAAGGAACCAATCAGCTATTGCTACTGACCACATAGAATATATCCCCATTACACCCATGAATGAATCATGTATAATTGTATAGTAGTATAGTGAAAGTTTGGGAACGTTTTTAAATGAAAATCTTATCCCAACTATACATCCACTATTCGCATCATATCTATGAGGAGTTATTAATATCATCTCCCATTCTGTAATAGTATTGTAGCATTATATATGGCTATGGATCAATACCTATACATACCATTTTTAGGGGGATGAACATCCATTTACTAGCTATTTTGATGTTCACCAGGGGTACAAGGTTTTGACACACTGCCATATCATTATATATAGTATAATCATTTGAGCCTTTTTTTTTGACTAAACTCCCTCCCGTCAGAACAGGCCAACGAAAACGATCCAGTCGAGTTCTTGCGAAAGTGGCCCAGCAAGGTGGGCGAGAAATCGTCGCGTGCACCGATTGGTGGTTCGTATGATTCGTTCGGTTAGGTATTTTCCGAAAAAAACAGGGTGATTCCATGGATTTACCCTCTGGTAATTTAACATAGCTATTGATAATGACCATTTATACTGGGTTTACCCATTAAGAATGGTGATTTTCCATAGTTATGTTAGTTTACCAGAGGGTACTTAGCCAAGTTGGTTTACAACTAGGTTTTTTGTGGAGCTTATGGTGATTGTAACTACAGTTAGATATAGTTGGAAGGGGTCTATTGTAAGTTATAAACTGATAACGCGCGGGGGCTCCACCTTGTGTGAAAAAGAGCCAAGTAGTGTTGGACATCACCAAATGCATTTAGTGATTTAAACATTATCTACCCTCCAGTAAACTAATGTAGCTATGGAAAATTCCAAATTATAGACGATGTTCCCATAAACAATCTCCATTCACAGGGGAAACAAATTGTAAAAGTCATTGTTGGTTGTTATGGTTATATACTGTGTGGATGTTCTGTTTCATTTTTACCTTTGATATGTTTCTTTTGATGGGATTTGGGGACAAGGTTGCCCCGAAATTTCACTGTTGATGTTTGGTTTATGTCAGGGGAGAATTGGTGTTACTGTTGTGGTTTTTGTTTGTGGTTACATGCCTGCCTCTGCGACTCACGCTTGCAACGACTTCATCGCCAACTTTCTCATGTTCGATTTTGTCGGGCGCTCATTGGGGTGTTGGTGCCCTTTTTCGGCCAGCTATGTTCCATCAGGATGAGTTTTGTGAGTTTGAAGTTGCTCACGAAAAGCCTGCGCCAATGATTGATTGCAGATAGCATGTGGCCCAAGCAAATCAATCAGTCGCTAAAATGTACATCATCCCAATTTCAGAAGATCGAACACGACGAAGTCTTTCATGGTCGCCTGAGGCTATTGACAGCTTGTGCAAAGAAGTAGACGGTGCCAGGGTCAGATTCCTTGGCACTCCGTTCTTCGAAAAATATGACAGGGTGATTGTGAGTTTCCCAGGCGCACATGGCAGAGCTTGGAACAAATTGATACAGGGGGCAGGTGGTTGGAAAACCAGTTGTGTGTTCTTGCCTGACGAGGACGCACCAGGCTATGGTGTCCACGTGAAAAATGATTCCCCACAGTGCTGTCACGCCATTTGGGGTGTGACACCGTGCTTCTGTCACATGCTGTATGGACAACCTGAACGGTGGGGTTGCCGCTGGTATCAGATGTTGCTTGGAAAGGAGACTGTTTTTTTTTGCTTTACCTCACTCATTGCCTCTTTTCAAGTTATATAACTAATATAACTTTTAAATGTGAAGCACGCAAAGAAGCTTTTTCATGGACATATTGCCGGATCACGTCCTTTCTGTCACAGTAAACCCAAACATGCACATTGGTATTTGAGGTGGGTGGAGAACACACGTCGAGCTGCAGAGATGGATGCCGAGCTTGTCGTTGTCACCAAAGCAGATGGAAGCCTCGGGCGCTCCCAAAAGGGAGAGGTCGAGTTTCTCGAGACCTCTGGCTATGAGTACAGAAGAAGAAGTGTCCGGGAATTTGCAGAGGATGTGCTCGACATTTTCATGCCGGATTGCAACCAAAAAAACTATAGAGACCATGGAATTGGAATGAGCCTTCCTAAGGATTTTGGTTCGAAGAACAGAAAATAAAAAAACTCCAGTTTCTGAACGTTCTAGTCCGCATATATTTTCTGCCCATTAGCTAATTGCCTAATTGCTGTGTTCTTTACGTCAGACTTAGCCTTTTGCTGTGCTCCAAAGGAAGCATGCATCTGGCTACCTGCTACACCCTCGAAGAGGGGGTCGGGGGGAGCACCTGGAAGCAGAGCAAGAAAAAAAGTGAAGGCTTGGTCGAACATAAACCGCGCTTTCGCTGATGCATTCCCCTGACCAACCTGGTTCCTCATCATCAGAAGAAACGCTCCAATCCTTAAGGACAATGTCACCGACCTTGGGAAACACGATTTTGCTACATTTTTCTACCAGGTTTGGGGGTATTCCTCCAGTTTGCTTCATTGTGCCATCGCCAGTCTCTCACTTCGCCCATCCCGAGGTTGTGAAGTCAGCGCGGATGAACTCTACTTGAAGGGGTCCTCGTGGATAATATTGCCCAAGAGTCAGTCATAAAAACTTGTCTTTCGTGAGCATTTCAACAGATTTGAAACACATGACAATGTGTGACATGTTCCAACTGTCCTCAAAATCCGATCCGCTGGCGAGTATTGCAACCAAAGCCATGAACGCAATGACAGCTTCAAGCGGTCTTCAAACCTGGACCTTTGGATTGATGAATTCAATGGTTGTTTATGGCGGTCACTCCAACCCCTTGGAGTATATCATAATGCACATCCGTTCATACTCCCACACACATGATCACACATGCATATAAATAGATACTGTACCAGATAGGGCCCGGCCGTGCCGGGGCGGAAGTTTCGAAAAATAAAACTGGCTACAAGAAATCAATGGCCTGCAGGAAAGTTTTTGAGATGCAAAAGCAATGAAGTGTTGAAGTTGTGAGGTGCTTCTACAAGTCACAGTACTAATCCTGGCACATCCTGGTACATCCTGGCACTGTTGTTTTTACAACTTTTGCCATTGCTGCTGCCACTAGCTCTAAAGGATTGCGCGATACCGCATGTATTTTTGTGAAGGTTTGGTCCAAACCCTTGTAAAACGAAGGCGACATTTCGTAACGAAGGAACAAATAGAGTTTTGGAGGTAGCTCAAATGGTGGTCGAGATGCCAGTGAAATGACACGAACAAATCCATGCACAACTGACTGAATGAACCAATGAACCCATGGATCAGTGAATCAATGAAGCATCGAAGCACTGAATCAATGAATCCATGAATCAACGAATCAATGAACCAGACAAATCAATGAATCCATGAACACTATATCAATGAACCAATGAATCAACGAATCCGTGTACGAATGAATCAATGCAGACCTGAACCACTGAATCAGTGAATCAAGGAATCAAGGAATCAGCGAATCAACGAACCAATGAATCAACGAACGGATGAATCAGTGAATCAATGAACCAATGGTTCAATGAACCAATGGTTCAATGAATCAATGAATCAGTGAATGAAGGAACGAACGAACGAAGGAATGGCGGGATGGATGGATGGATGGATGGATGGATGGATGGATGGATGGATGAACGGGCGGATGGACGGATGGATAGTGCCTTGGAAATTTGTGGAAAAACTGTTCTTTAATAAGAGTTTAATAAGCGGCCTGATTCATTTGGGAAAGGCTTGAACTTTGACTTTTTCAATTGCTTTTGTGAAAGGCTTTTATTTCTTCTCTTGGCTCCAGGATCAGCTCTGGAAAAGCTTGCTGCAATTGTGAACCCTGAGAACAAACCTACTAGAGTGAACTGAGCCCTCCCATGGCCCAGTGCCTTGGAAATTTGTTGCTTTTTTCTTTAATAAGGTTTTAATAAGCGGTCTGATTCTTTTGGGACAGGGAGACGAGCCAAAAAAAACAGAAAACATGTTCAGATTTGTTTACACAAACATTTTTGTGGACGAAACACTTGGTCTCTCAAGAATTCTTGCCACTATAGTGAACCTTCCAAACATTGCTGGGGCCCTGAATAATTCGGAAAATGTTGGATATGTTGGCCACAATAGCGAACCTAGACACTAATCAGGATACAACATTAAGCTACTTGTTTGCTGAGGCACCTCTTCTCCCAGCTACTTCTTCTCTGAACTAGCTACCTCTTCTGTGGCTTCTGCAACCCAAGTCTTCTCTTCGCGCAGCCAGCGCAATGCGTTGTGCAACCTCCAGCTGCAGTTCTGCACAGGGCAAACGTGGCCCTATGCTTAAAAATTATGTTTCGCGCAGCTGTTAATTACAATGATTGTTTGCAACCTCCAGCCGCAGTCCCACACAGCAGGAGAGCAGCAGAATCGCCAACGCTTTCCTGTGCGCAGCCATGCCAATGCGGTTTGTCACCTCCAGCTGCAATTCCGCAAAGCGCAAGCGCGACACTATGCTGAAAATATTTTTTCGAGCAACATAGCAGTGTGTTCAAAAAATGGTGTAAAATGATGTAAACTGTAGAGTGTGTTCTTGACAACATAGCAGTCCAACTGCCCCTATTGAACCTCACCCTTTCATACTCTTCATCGTCCTGATGAAAAGCTCTGCCACATTGGTGCGAGTAAAAGTGATGACTTGAGTGATGCCTTCATCCTCAAAGAACTTGTGGACCCCTGAGTGGAAAGCACACTCATTATCGCTAAAAACAGACATCATTTTTTTTTTAAGGCTGATGCAGCGTTTGCTCCATTTTTCCTTCACACGGACGATGTTAGCCAACTTGCTGACAATGTTTCTGACAACCAACCCTATCTGGGCTAAAGGTTCTTGACGGGAACTTTCACCTCTGGAACTTTGACTAGGGTTTCATATCTTTTATGTCAATCTGATACTCCAACTTTGCGACGGGTGCAGTGTAGGAGTTTGAACCCCTGTATTTTCAAATCGATTGTTGGGTAATTGTTTGCTCCTAAAGTGTTCCACATCCACCCTGTTGATGGTCGGGTTTTGTTCCTTCGCGTTCTTGAGGGTCTCATTGATTGAACCGAAACCTGCTTCAAGATTGAAATAGCCATTGCTAATGATGTCATTGTTTTGGTAGTTTCCTTGCATATATTATAACACACTAGATGCTTAAATTATCAACTTTAAAACTATACCTATATAACAAAAAAATACCTATATACATATAGTAAGAATGAATACGATGACTAAATTTGAGTGTGGATGCCGTGTAATGAGTGATTGTATCAATTTGAACAGTGATGAGATCTGGGTTCTTTGTTCAAAACCTTCGTGTTTGTTTGCGGGAAGTGTTCCAAGAAACAAATGAAATTCCAACGTATGGAAAACACACTTGTGGAGATGGAAAAGCAACGGAGAGGAACGTTCTGGCAGAGGAAGACCGAGAGGAATACACATACTTTGACCTAACCAAGTTGAAGGAACATCTCAAAACCTCCCACCTGATGAAAGGCACAAAGTGAAGGATGTTGAGAGGTTAAGAAACATTGCCAATGGACAAATGGATGAAATTGATATGGCTATGAGGGAACTGCAAGAGGAGGAAAGGGAAAATAAAAACCAGCCTGAACCCGAAAACTGAATGAAAGCCCAAAACTACTTAAAGAAAAGATTGCTATATATAGAAAGAGGAGATGGCAGGAAGTTTAAGGTTGACAGATTTACCAAGTGATGCTACGTTGAATGTTTCATCGTATCTGTTGGGCGTACCAAGCGATTTAAAATTAAAACACAACAAAACACTCAAACAAATCCAAACTAAATAGAAGCCAGTGTATGGAAATGTTCACTGTTATGCTAACTATGATGGTAGTGTATTTTGGAAACATCATTTTATGAAATTTGAAACCAAAATTGTCAAGTATGAGTGACGTTTTAGAAATCATACTAAAACTTAAAACATAATCAAGCGAATTCAAAATATAAGGTATATCCAACCTGATATGGAAACTATTGGAAACTAACATCAGCATTTTGGCTGAGTGTGAAGCAGAAGGACCAAGTGGATTTCATCGTTGGGGTGGAAGTCACGTATGTGCTATGTTTGAAGTTGATGTTATACCAATAGACTATGGATCAGACACACACAACAACATCCAAGATGTCTTGAATTAACCTTATAGAGATATGTTTTTTGAGGTTGAAAGATGTTGCAAAGGATATGTTTTACAATTTGGAATTGGGAAACCTTTACTTTCAAATGTCCATTAGCATTGAACCAGATATCACGTGAGACAGAACATGAAAACTGAACCAGAAACAAAATTACTCAAATAAAAGATGACTACAGGCATCTGACAAAGTCGTACCTGTTTTAGGAAAAAATCGTTGTGCCTTGGGGAAGTGTGTTTCGCAAAAGTCGTGCCTTTAGCAAGAACGCATAGGAACTCTGGAGTTTGGATATGTAACCCGTCTTCTTATGAGATCACGTAGCTGATCACTATTAGCATGCAGAATTCCAGGTTGTAGGTATGTTGATTAGTTATAGGTAAGATGGCGTTGAGCTGGTGATTTGATGATTTTGGATGTTCATCCCAGATTATCTTGTTTTTCCCGAATGCGTAGCGAAATGTTCCCGTTTATAGTCTGGGGGTCTGGGGTCGGCGTCGCGTCGTCGGGTCGGCGTCGCGTCGTCGTCGCGGCGTTAATTCCGTGTCTATGGGGGAAGCTGCAAAACCTCTCCTTTTCGAAGGTTTCCAAGCAGGTTGTCATGTCGTTTTGCGTGGCAGGCGTGGCACTTTGTCACATGCCAACCTGTTTGATAACGTGTCGAAAGTGTCAAAATTGGAGGAAGTCTCGCACGAAATGCTCGTTTTGCTGCGCCCACGTGTCTCGTCTCCAGTCTCTGGTTTTCCTGTGGCGTCGCCGTGTCTATGGGGGAAGCTGCAAAACCTCTCCTTTTCGAAGGTTTCCAAGCAGGTTGTCATGTCAGTTTGTAGCACAAAGTGGTACTGGGAAGTAGTTTGTGCAAGCTTTGTAGTACAAAAATTGTACTGGGAAGGGTTTTGTGCAAGCTTTGTAGTACAAAGTATAGTAGTACAAAGTAGTACTGGAACGTGCTTTGTGCAAGCTTTGTAGTACAAAGTAGTGCTGGGAAGTAGTTTGTGCAAACTTTGTAGTACAAAGTAGTACTGGGAAGTGCTTTGTGCAAGCTTTGTAGTACAAAGTAGTACTGGGAAGTGCTTTGTGCAAGCTTTGTAGTACAAAGTAGTACTGGGAAGGACTTTGTGCAAACTTTGTAGTACAAAGTAGTACTGGGAAGTGCTTTGAGCAAACTTGTAGTACAAAGTAGTACTTGGAAGGTCTTTGTGCAAGCTTTGTAGTACAAAGTAGTGCTGGGAAGTGCTTTGCGCAAGCTTTGTAGTACAATGTAGTAATGGGAAGTCCTTTGTGCAAGCTTTGTAGTACAAAGTAGTACTGGGAAGTGCTTTGCGCAAGCTTTGTAGTACAAAGTAGTACTGGGAAGTCCTTTGTGCAAGCTTTGTAGTACAAAGTAGTACTGGGAAGGTCTTTGTGCAAGCTTTGTAGTACAAAGTAGTACTTGGAAGTAGTTTGTGCAAATTTTGTAGTACAAAGTAGTACTGGGAAGTGCTTTGTGCAAGCTTTGTAGTACAAAATAGTACTGGGAAGGACTTTGTGCAAGCTTTGTAGTACAAAGTAGTAATGGAACGTGCTCTGTGCAAGCTTTGTAGTACAAAGTAGTACTGGGAAGTAGTTTGTGCGAACTTTGTAGTACAAAGTAGTGCTGGGAAGTGCTTTGCGCAAGCTTTGTAGCACAAAGTAGTACTAAGGAAGTCCTTTGTGCAAGCTGTGTAGTACAAAGTAGTACTGGAACGTGCTTTGTGCAAGCTTTGTTGTACAAAGTAGTGCTGGGAAGCAGTTTGTGCAAACTTTGTAGTACAAAGTAGCACTGGGAAGGACTTTGTGCAAGCTTTGTAGTACAAAGTAGTACTGGGAAGTGCTTTGTGCAAGCTTTGTAGTACAAAGTAGTACTGGGAAGTACTTTGTGCAAGCTTTGTAGTACAAAGTAGTACTGGGAAGTGCTTTGTGCAAGCTGTGTAGTACAAAGTAGTACTGGGAAGTGCTTTGTGCAAGCTTTGTAGTACAAAGTAGTACTTGGAAGTAGTTTGTGCAAATTTTGTAGTACAAAGTAGTACTGGGAAGTGCTTTGTGCAAGCTTTGTAGTACAAAGTAGTACTGGGAAGTGCTTTGTGCAAGCTTTGTAGTACAAAGTAGTGCTGGGAAGTGCTTTGTGCAAGCTTTGTAGCGCGAAGTAGTACTGGGAAGTCCGTGTGCAAGCTGTGTAGTACAAAGTAGTACTGGGAAGTGCTTTGTGCAAGCTTTGTATTACAAAGTAGTACTGGGAAGTCCTTTGTGCAAGCTTTGTAGTGCAAAGTAGTACTGGAACGTGCTTTGTGCAAGCGTTGTAGTGCAAAATAGTACTGGGAAGGACTTTGTGCAAGCTTTGTAGTACAAAGTAGTACTGGAACGTGCTCTGTGCAAGCTTTGTAGTACAAAGTAGTACTGGGAAGGACTTTGTGCAAACTTTGTAGTACAAAGTAGTACTGGGAAGTGCTTTGAGCAAGCTTGTAGTACAAAGTAGTACTGGAAACGTCCTTTGTGCAAGCTTTGTAGTACAAAGTAGTGCTGGGAAGTGCTTTGTGCAAGCTTTGTAGTACAAAGTAGTACTGGGAAGTACTTTGTGCAAGCTTTGTAGTACAAAATGATGATGCAGAATCCCAGCGTTGACATGCAGGTTGCACACGAGAATGACATTATAAGAGAGTAGAAAAGCAATATTTTCACCAGTCGCGTTCCATTGTGTTTTATGTTTTTTTAATGTCTGAAATGCATGTTTACACTTTTATTGAGGACAGCGTTCCATGCAGAAAAGCATGTAGGCATGACTTAGGCATGACTTCTTGGATACAGCGTTTACAATGGTAAATGCCATTCAAAACACGCTAGGCATGACTTAGGCGTGACATTGTCGTTTCCCTGTATATATTATAAGAGAAAAAACAATATGAAACTTGAGGATTTAAATTTAAAATGTAGGAGTGACTGCTAATTTTGACAGTCGGAGTGATGATGATGAATGGGAAGAAAACATATAGAAAAAATGAAGAGATTAGAGACTTTGTCAAATGTCATCCCTGTGCCTTCACCTGATGATGAGGAAGGAGACAAATTTTGGAAGAAAGTAATTGACGATTTCAAAAGAAAACGCGGAAGGAGTATATATATATATATGGTATGATATGTTTTGCGTTTGTTGGTTTTGGCATTATAAGAAATGTATGGAACCTCACGGAGAAAAAGGTCATCGTCGATTGAGGTAAAGAATTCAACCATGATGGTAGATGCAACGCTTTGATTATTAATCTACTTCTTTTATCAATAGCAATGGATGCAATGAATGATACAGGAAAATCTTGCTTAACCCAAATACGACTGATTGAAGACGGGTGGGATTGAATAGGACAATGGAAAACATACATTGATTAATTATGATTAGTTCATAATATCTTTAAAAAAACATATTATGAATTGTGAACTAGTCTGCAAACAAAAGTCACTGAAAACTGAAAACCCTATCAGCCACAACAATTATCTCCCTCATTCAAACCAAACATCAACAGTGAAAGTTCGGGGCAAACTTGCCCCAAAATCCCCATCGCAAAAAACACAACATTAAAGGTAAAGATGAAACATTGAACATCAACATATCAACAGAAAAAAAACATAACAACCCACAATGAATGCTGGGATGTCCCGGTATCCCCCTTTTACCATTTCTTTAGGGGATTTTTCATAGTTGTGCTGGTTTGCCAAAGGGTATTTTTCTCACGTTCTACCTGATCAGAGATGAGTCTCCTGACCGGCGAAATTTTTGGATCATCTGGGGATATCAAATCTCCTGGCAGCCCATCGTTTGCGGGTATCAAACTCATTGCGGTGCCGCTCCGATGTTGCAGGGTCGGTAGGATCAATTTGTTTTTGTGGGAAATAGATCGGGACCCAAAAAGCATCTTTGAGAGCTTGGTTTCTCCACCACGGCTGACAATTAGGGATTGTCCAATAAGTTTCCAAGTCTAACAACATAGATCAATTGGTGATATTCCCACTATACTCCCAGTACATTCCCATTACTGTAAGTGTCATTTACATTCCATCACGTTCCCATGACATCCGCTTAAATCCAATGAAATCACCGTTAAATCCGATGAAATACCATTAAATCCCAGTTAAATCCCATCAAATCACAATCAAACCCATTTAAATCCCCTTGAATCACCATTAAATCCCAGAAAAAACATGGATAAACCAAGCTTTGTTTCCAAGGTATCTCTGGGTTTCCGCTCCCTTCGCAAGGTGGAAATCGTTCCTCAGGGAGATTCTTTCCTGGTGACCCGCGGGGCGCTGGGCGGGCAGCAGAGTTTATTTTTCTATTTCGGGTGCTTCATATACTGTATTGGATTTCTGGGCATAATCATGCGGATTTAGCAGGATTTTATAGGAGCTTAAAGGGGGTTTATAGGGATTTCTTGGGATTTTACTGCGATTTTAATGGGATTCTACTGTGGTTTAATGCGTTTCATGGGATTTAAAGGGATAATCATGGGATTTAATGAATACGTAAGTGAGCCGTGAAAGTTATGCAGTTATACCCTGTTGGGACTTATACTACCGAATTTCTCGGGGACGATATCCACGGCTCAATCCTTGGATCTGGGACAAGCACCCTGGAGGAAAGGCACACTATTTTTCCTGGTACTTTTTCCCCTTCCCCGGGGAATATTTTTCCCCGATCATCCTTTCACAATAAAGCCAGCAGGCAAGCAAGCAAGCAAGCCAGGCAGCCAGGCAGGCAGGCCAAGCAAGCAAGCAAGCAAGCCAAGCAAGCCAGCAAGCAAGCAAGCCAGGCAAGGAAGCAAGCAAGCAAGCAAGCAAGCAACTGAGCAACCGAGCAAGGCAGCAAGCAAGCAAGCAAGCAGGCAGGCACGCAAGCCAGCCAAGCCAGCCAAGCCAGCCAACCAGCAAGCAAGCATGCAAGCATGCAAACCAGCAAGCAAGGGGGCAACCAGCCAGCAAGCAAGGGGGCAAAAGGCCAGCTAGCAAGCAAGCAAGCCAGCCATGCAGGTAAGCCAGAGCAAGCAACCACTTTGCATGCAGGCAAGCAAGCCGGGAAGGCAGCAAGCAAGCAATTGAGGAAGCAAGCAAGGAAGTAAGCAAGCGAGCCAGCCAGCCAACCAGTAAGCAAGCAGGCCAGCCAGCCACCATAAGTAAAGTTTTGAGCCAATCGTAGATAAACCTTCGAGCCAACCCTGCGGAGAAACTATAAACCCACTTTCAATAAAACAAAGCAACCCTGAAGCAACCCTAAATAAAATTCTAAACCAACTGCGACCCAAATTCAACGTTACTTATCCAAACCCTAAACGAACTTTAAACTGTAAACTAACTGGCACTAAACAGTAAATAAAGCTTTAAACCAATCTTTGACCAACCCTAAAGAAAATTCGAAATAAAAACAGCATTTTAAATCAACCACAAACAAATGTTGAACCAACCCTTAAGAAAAACCCTAACCAACCTGAAAAAGAAAGTTAAACTGACCCTTAGTAAAGCACCTTTGAAATACAACCTGAAACCACCCTCAAATAAATTATCATTAAACCTTGAACCAATCCTCAATAAACCACAAATCAACCCTAAATAGATCTCTAACCAGCCCCAAACCAATTCTAAACCAAACCGTAAACCGTAAACTGCAAACCAATTTAAAACATTAAGTGCACCGACACTACATCGACCCTAAACCAACTTGAATTAGCCACTAAGCCAACTTTAACAAAACCCTCAACAACTTCAAATAAATTTCCGAACAACATTCAATAAAATTTTAAACCAAAATTCCATAGTCCCCAAACCAGCTCCAATCAAACCTTAAACCAACCCCAAATCGACCCTAAACCAACCTTAAACCGATTATAAAGAATCCCTCAATCCAACCCCAAAGAACACCTTAAAGCAAACTATAGTTTTAAAAAATAATCCTAAAACCCTCACGAAGGAAACTGCACGCACACCGTAAAGTCAAACCCCAAGCCAAGTTTAAATTTTCAGCCAACCTCAAATAAACCCTGAAAAGAATGCCAAATAAAGGGTTAACCCAACCCAAAACAAACCCAAATCAAAAGCTAAAAGACAAATGAATTTTCGATAAATTACGAATCAAACCCTGGACCGATTTTAGAAAAAACTTTGAACCAACCTTAAGCCAACCAGCGCAACCAGCAATAAACCACTGACCCAACCCTGAAGCAACCCGAAACCAAACCGAAAGAAAACTTAAACACACCTTAACCAACACTAAGCATGCCAGAAATAACACCTGAAAAAATGTTAAATGAGCATTACGCCAACATTCAATAAATCCAGAGTAAACCTTAAGCTAACACTAAGCCCACCCAAACCAAACCCTAAATATATTTTAACTACAATTTCAAAGCGGCCTAGGAACACAACCCTAAACCAAATCTAAACAAAACTTTACACCAAACATAAACCAACCCTGAACATATCTTAAAAGATAAGAAATATTGCAAAATACCTTCACCCAAGCCGAAACAAATCCTACAGCAACCCCAACACCATGCTAGTTGAACCAACGCTAAAACTAAGCGGACTCCTAGCCAAACCGCAAACTAACCCGAAACAACATATCGCACCAACACGGAATTCACGCCGAGCAAGCGCTACACAAACACCATTTATAAACCATCTTTAAACCGACCTGGAATAACTAAGCCAACCCACGATACCGATACCTTTAACCAACCCCAAGCACACACCACAGCAGCCCCAACAACAATTCTAGCTGAACCAACCCCAGATTGCTGCTAGCTCCAAAAAATTCCGATTCCGGCGGAAATATGAGTTTCTAGCTCCAAAATGCTGCAATTACGGTAGAGGTGGTTCCAAAATGTTGCAAATACTGTCGAAATGGCAGCTTCGAGGTTTAACATGCTGCAAATAGCGAGGGAACTGATGCGGCATTGAGGGGGGAAAAAAACGCAAACTGGGCCCTGGAGGAAAGAGGTGACAGGATATTTTTGTTGGGTCTGAAATGAATGCATGGGTTTCAGTGAAAAGCCCAATAAAAATGGATGGTGAAGACTGAGTTGTTGTTTTTCTACCCCAGGTGAGAACCTTTCAGATCCTGTTGCGATCTTCCGCGTTCGTTGTTGGAATATGGTATCAGCTACCCTAATGGTCAGATATGGCAGTTGAAAATTCACCACGTCCCAGTGCCAGTCCACGTCATATATTGATAAAATGTGGGAAAGCCAACAATAAACCTACGGTATCAATCCCAGCCATTTTTCGTGAACCTGGGCATGGTTTATGACACTGGCTTTACCACATGAGTGGTATAGCTCCCAACTGAGTATCCACGAGATGTTTTTGCCCTGGGCCAAACATAGAGCTGGAAAATCAATCTTTGATAGATTTATAGATATACAATATATATATATACACACATATATATATATATGTATTAATAGAATATGTATAATATATATATAGTATGTTTTAATATGATATAATATAATATTTAATTTAATATATTTATATACATATTATATATATAATATAAATATATGTATATATAATACTATATATATATATATATATTAAATTATACTTATATATATATTAAATTATATTTATATATCATATAATATATAATATATGATATATATATATATAACAATATATATATATATACATGGTTTTCCCATTAAAGTTAAACACACCATTTACAGGGTATTTCTCACTGCCACGTTTGATTCCCGGAGGGTAGATGTATTCCGGATTGAGATGTTTAGTTTCCAGAAAATAATATTTTCACCAAGGAGAACTGGTTAACTGGTTCAGTGCTATGTAGATATACTAGACCATACTAGAATTACTAGATCAAAATCACCGGTTATATTTGAGGAACATCCTTATCGGCATGACCCAAATTTTGGGTTGCCATTTAGTTTCCGATCTCACATTTGCCAGGTACAGTTAGCCAAGAAACCTGTAGCCAAGGCAAGAAATTCGAACGAGACGGGGTTTGACCAGGTTCCCATGTGGGGTTTAGACAACCTCTTCGCAGTTCACTAGTGATGAACCTCACTGAAAGGGAAGGTGTTCTGTGTGTGTATGTCTGTTATCAGGGGGAAAGGATTATGAGGTTTACCTTTGAAACATGTTCATACATGTTCTGCATTGTGGCATTCGCATGACTGGCATTGACTGGTCACATACTGTACATCTGTAATTCTGCACTGTTTCGCGGTGTCAAGCATGTGATTATAATCCCTTTTCTAGCTTATTGGTTTGTCATGATCACTTTCGTTTAATTGATCTGTTTTCGCTGGTTTGTTTGTTTGGGACCACCAGTCAGACTGTGGTAGTTTTTTTGCGCGAGATCCATCCACGGTTGACATGCATATCGCATCGATGTTGCAGTTCCAACCCCTGGTTTGAGAGGACAAATCTGCTTGTTTTTGTTTTTCCTGGGGTCAATGAACCCCTTTTCTGGGGTCAAAGTAGAGACCTTCTGGGAATCATGGTAATGGAAATCTCCCAAATTTGTAGATGATATTGGATGGTTATCGAAAGTATGATTGGACCATTGCCAGGTGAAATTCGATGGAGGTCATCAATTGTTGCTGATCTAACCCTCATTTTTGCTTGCTGAACCAGCATTTTTGTTGCTTAGATGATGTTAGATCCATTTGTATCGCGGACTTCGCAGACCAGCAAGAATACCATGTTGATCCATGTTGTTTGTTTGGTTGATTATGTATTTCTATGTATTTCTGGATCATCGAATAAACAATGTTCATTCCCCATGGTCGGGATGGTCAAAGATCCAAGTGCCCCCTAGATAAGCTAAAATGGCTTACATCCAAAATAACTAGGGTTATGTAGATATAAAATGATATATATATATATATTGTTGATGGGGTTTATAAGCCAACATGACTGGGGCCACCACCTTGTAATTATGTGAATGCGGTTGGTTAGTTGCATAACATTATCCAATTATTGCGTTCCCATTGTCTCCCCATTACTTTAATTTGTCCAGGATACTCACATTGCTTCCCATTAATACCAATGTTGGTCAAATACACCCAAATATATTTTCAAGTTGGTTATTATTTATAGAAATGCATACTTATATCCCGTATTATACCCCAATATATCCAATATTTGGTACAGTTATATCATAGTAATATGTCAATAATATGATAGTTATTTACCTATATATATATAATTATTTTTATAGTTTTGTAGTTATACATATAAAGTCATATCCCAACAAGACATCTTATGTTGCATATAAAATGATATAGATATATCTATATAGTTGATCATGTACATAGATAGTATATAACAATATATAACAACATATAGATATAGATATATAGATAGTCATATAGTTATATGTAGTTATTTAGACATTCCCCAAGGATATCCAACATCTTGCCGCAGGCCGCCCCTGAGGAGCCGGCCGCCGCGGTTCCCCCCGCCGCGGTTCCACCCGCCGCGGTTCCGCCCGCCGCGGTTCCGCCCGCCGCGGAGCCAGCGGAGGCGAAGAATGGACCGGCGAAGCCACCAGGACGTCGCTTCCGGTGGATGGCAAAATCGTGGGAAAGATCATGGAAATATGTAAAACATCTAGGAAACTCATGGGAAAATGTAAAAAAACTATAGGAAAATCTAGGAGGATTTCGGGAAAACTGGGGATTGAATGGATTGATTTGCTGAGAAATGGTGCGTGGTGGATGGGAAACATCATGGGAAAATAATGGAAGATCCACTGTAAATGTGGAGGTTGTTTAGCAAAATCAAGGTAAACAACCTGGATGTGCTGCGTCGATGTTTACCCCACAAGGTGAAGAATTCATGCACCAACAAGAATGGAAAAATAGCAGATGGCCCCAAACGATAGCTAAGTTGAGGCAAATTAACTTGGTTAATTACGGTTTATGGGGAATAACTATAGACTGTTACAAAATGGGGTAAGCAAACTTTGAACTGTGGGGCCTCACCGGGCTAAGCCTTACATGAGGATTTAGCAATGAGAAATGGTGATATTCTTGGGGGACATAACGGGAATACAACCAATGGTCATTTGGTTGATGGTTTCATTAGTACTGGAATGTTGGAAACAATAACTGGTTGGTGGTTTGGAACATTTTTTTACTTTCCATATATTGGGAATGGTAACCCCAACTGACTAATATTTTTCAGAGGGGTTGAAACCACCAACCAGATAAAATTAGTATTAAACACCAGTTGTATTGATTGAACATTAGTAAGTACAACCATCCAGTGGAGTTGAAACCACCGACCAGAGGAAAAACGGGATGTTCGCAAGCAACAACCAAAGAACTCTGGGGATATAACCATCATTACCAAATAACTACTGTTGTATATGGGGGGTTTCCGAAAATAAGGATACCCCCAAATCATCCAAGTCATTAGACAATTTAGTATTGAAACCCATGGTTTGGCGGTACCAGCATTTTAAGACACCTCAATATGTATACAGTAATACATAGGTTTGAGTACAGGCTCTATAGGTCTATAGTCAGTTATAACGACCTCACTGGCCATCATCAACAATGACCGAACTCTTCGGCCGCTCTTCACCAGCATTTGCAGTAGGAACTTCACGTGAAAAGTAGGGTATGGTTTTGGTGAATGGGTTTGATAGATATATTTGGATGGCTCTGCTGGAACCCGTGAGAAGTGCTATGCAAAACCCTCCACCAGTCCACTTGTGGGCGGATTTGTTTGTTTAATCCCTTGCTCACATTCAGATTCCTATCTAGGGAAGCCCAAAAATGTGTTTAACATGTTGGCAGTTCATCAGTTATCCAATCCCTGTGATTCATGTTGGTTCCACAGGGTGGGGCTCGCCCCACCCTGTGGCTCAACCATGAGGACAAAAGCCTCCACAGAATATCCAAGACTTCCTGTGGAACCTGCACACCTTGCTCCACGCGCGAGGCCATGGCCGGGTGCCTGTTTTGTTGGGATTTTGGATGTTGGAGAAAAGGGGGCCTATGTTGGAGATCACCGGGGATATTCATGGGCTATAAATGGGGATACTGTAGTAACATGATGGTACTCATTGACTTGATATCATATCTGGGTGTGTCTGAACATGGGGGATGGACCCGGCAAATTGCCATTACACAATATGAAAAACATTGGAAAAAATGGGGAAAGTAGAAAAATCAACCCACGGATTCCGTTGGTCACCTGTGATGTTGAGACATGGACTCATTGTGATGTTGGACTCATTATTAAATACTTAGATTTGCCCAGTGGGTGATTTTTATTTTCCCATTGGTCAATCCACCATTTGGATCCATTTGGATCCATCAATGAGGAATTGTCAACAGGAATTGGTTTCTCATTTTTTGGGGGGGCAATCGTAATATGAGAACCACTATCAAAGACCGATGGTCTGGAGATGACACAGGGGTTTGGGCATTGCACATTTGGCCCTTGTTGTTATCTAAGTGGAGGACTGAAACTATCTGAAAATCTTTGCGAGGGTCCAATGAAGATAGATGTTTCCACTGCAGGATTTGTTTCAGTACTAGACGGGTACTTGAATGACAATTGGTGACTTACGACAAGAATCTTGGGGCCCTTGGTGTACAGTCACATGATACTGGGGATCCCAGACCCCCAGAGCACAAGCGCAAGAAGCTCCGCTTCTTGCAGCGGTTGATTGTGGTGTGGCGAGGACCAAGTCTGGCCCATCATCCTTGTTTTTCGCAAGCCTGAAACCGCGAGATATGTAGGGTGACAACTTGCTCAATGCGCCTTGTCCGACGCCAACCTACTGGACAGTCTGGACTTAAATCTTCATGGACTTGGAGACCTGTGGTTTTCATGCGCTTCCTGCGGTCTTCGTCTGTCCTTTACAACACGTCGTTGTTGCGGTCAATGACACGATTCTCGTCTGGAAATCGAACGAAACGTTTGTGAATCTCACCTTTGAGTCAAATCCTCCCAAGCCAAGTACTGTACCGTAGGAATTATATTTGAATTATAAGATATTACAAGAAATTGTAAGTGTATTTATTGTGCAAGTGATATCCAGTGCGTTTTTCCAAGTATATAGATGTATATAGTATATATATATATATATTCAAAATTAGGTGTACATCATATCAGCCATATCTGTTTATGATGCATCTTTTTCATGTTGGTCCCACGCCCTTCTTCCATTCGCGTACCTCGCCCCTCGGCACCAGGTGGGATACCCATCGCGCAGCTGAAGGATGTGTATCTTACACACTTCGGGCACAAGTTTGGGAGCCCAGACAGCTGAGGCTTAAGGCCCCGTATTGGACCCTTTGAGAAGTTACTAACGAGGCTAACAGGCTAACAGCTGGATTTATGCTAATATCATGATATATAAATATATATAGAGAGTATATATATATAATATATATAGAATATATAGATATAGAGAATATATAATTATATATATAGAGAGAGATGTGTATTTCAGAAACAATCTATTGTGGGATTCAATAACTCGTTCCCAGCTTGGTGAGTGGTTTTGGCAACCAGCACTTTGGAGATAGGTTGCAGAAAAAATCTGCTCTGCAGACCGGTTGAATTGAATGCTTCATGTGTTTGTAATCAGTGATTCAGATGTTGAGATGGGACAACATGGTCCAAAATGCATCGTTAGAACTCGTTTTCTTTCATGATGGTGTACCTGCTCGCAGCTGAAATGATGCTGAAATGCTTCAGGATGTTTGCCAGAGTTCTAGATGGACCCCCAACAAATCTTCGCGAATTCCAGCATAATCTTTGGAAATGGCAAAGAGGGTTTTTAGATGTTTTTAGTGGGAACATGATTGACATCGGGGAATGTCCATTTAGCCGAATTGGATGACCAGAGGATGTACCCTCTGGTAATTTAGCATAGCTATTGAAAATGGCCCATGTTTGATGTTGATTTAGCTATTAAAGATGGTGATTTTCCAGTTCGCTATGCAAACGTTTACCAGAGGCAATTTTTCTTCAGTTTGTGTCTCAAATTGGATCATGTTCCACCGAGGTGTGCCATTGAACGCTTCCTGGTTGTGGCGGAGGGTGGGCTTTTGGCCACTTTCAAGAGGCGCTTTTATTTTCCAAGCGTTGCTGGCCGAATTTCTAGGAAGTCGCCTATTTTTTGTTGGGCTATTGACTATAACATCACGACGTAAAACTGATGGTAAGTGACATTATTATCAGATTATCATTATTTCAGCCTTTTGAAAGATTACAATAACAATTTTGTTTGTGCGGCAAGAGATTGAAGTCTCAAACATTTTTCCAACCAACTTATATAATTATATTATATTTAATGATTGTATTATGTAATTACGTATGTAAAGAAAACCACTCCAATTCAGAACTGCCGTTCGGCGTCCGCAGGATACCCCACATCATCCAGATAGACAAGGAGCGTCGGGCCTTGAAATGCTAAACTGCTAAGTCTTTGTTGGTCTGAGCCATTTGCAGTTGTGACATCCCATGCTGAAATCCGACCTTTCTGCTGATGTTGTGGCCTTCGAAAATCCAAGAGACTACTGATTTCCAGGGAAATTCTGATCAACTCCCCATGTCTTTCAATTCGGTCCAATTTTGATGCCTCTTTGGAATCCGTTCGACTTGACCGTGGGGCTTGCGGCTTGCAGGAGCCAGATCACATGCTGCGCCCTAGCCTTCCAGGAGGCTCCATGGCTCCGAAAAATGGGAATGAACAGCAGTTCACCAACACCGTAAGTGGAGGCATTGACCATCATCCATTTTTTGCAGGTGTTTTCATCACCTGACGATTTTGAATAATGTGTTAAATCGTTTTTGTTTTTGTTGGTTCGATCAATCCCATTCAATGATTTGAGACTTTTTGGGCCCGTATTGCGACCAGGATCCCTTTTAGTGTTGGCCCCCCTATGAACCTTGACTCTTCACTGGTGATTTGGCGGATAACTCAAAATAGAATTGGTTGGTCCTTCTAACCATTGGGATGATTGTCCCCAAAGCAGAAATGCGCCATTGTAATACCTTACCCTGAAATATCCATTGTAATACCACCCTTAAATAATATAGAAAAGAAATATGCCACTAAGATAGCGGTATATTGAACCCTTTCTATTCTTTTGAGTTGCTGTAAAATATGGGTGTCTGAAAATTCTGAAAACGCCATGGTACGCCTAAATCCACTGGTTCATCATCATGATTTTTTTCCTCAGTGGACCAGATTTTCAGACAGACCCAAATGATATAATATATATAATATATTTAATATATTTATATATTATCCTGATGTTCATTGGTTCATGCCATGTCTTGAATGTTTCTTTTCTGTTTATGGTAATTCGTTACTGTATATACCACAAGTACCACCATATTTTGTTTATGCTTAATTGTTGAAAGATGCTGTTTGATTTGGGTTTTGATGGTGGAGATTACAGTCCCATTTTTTGACGGTTAAAACTCATTGTGTATGGTCAAATTCAATCTGTCCCCCCACTTTTTGGACGGGTACATTTGAAGCTCATTGTTTTGTTAAACCCCATTAATGACTATTAAAATCCATGTGACCACTATTTTCTGCCATTTTCTGATAACTATGGTTAATTCACCTAATCCCCACGTTGAACTTGTTAATGGCAATGCCTTACACCCCCATGAAGATCTCATCAACCTCCATTGCTTGAGAGCCGCAGGCGCCACGCGCGAAGAACTCCTGGCCGAAGATGAAAAGTGCGCAGTTTTCGAGCTGGTTTTGGGGGGCATCTCTAGGGGATTTCTGTTTTGAAGGGACTTTATGATCTGGTTGGTGGTTTGGAACATGAAATTTATTCTTCCATATATACATAATTATGTATATATATATATTGGGGTTTTCATCATCCCAACTGACGACCTCATATTTTTTCAGAGGGGTGGCTCAACCACCACCCAGCGATTCTGCGGATTCCAATGGGAGCCCCGGCGCTGGCCATGGGACCCAAGGGATCCATGGGGCCAGGTATCGGAAAAGTCTGCAACAGAAGATGGCTGCCAAGGTTTTCCGAAGCGGGATCCAGTGGATTGATGAAGAACTTGGGTAATCCGATATTTATCTCAACTCTGTATGTATTTGCGTATTATTATTATGTATATATACATATATATATATATATGTATATTTAACATACATACATATATATCATGCACATATATTATCTGGTGTATATATATATATATTTATATGTATATATATATTACATATATATATATATATATACATGCATATAATCTCCAAAAAAGTATCTATGTATTACTCTATTTCTTTCAAAGAGGTATCCCAAAGTAACCTGGCAACCAGGAACTCGTTTTGGATTATCCCTGGACTGGACCAGAGATTTTAGCATATCTTAGTTGAAATATATCGACCCCTGAGCCCCACCATGTATAGCATGTGCAGGTAGGTCTAGTAGAGGTATGCCTTAGCTATGAGTCCATCATGCCCAAAGTAGATATCCCCGATATGTACAGCCATAGCACTACCTATGTAGAAGCGTTACATAGGTAGGGTAGCCACTAATTAGAGTAGAGTGTAATTCCATCCTAACAATAACCTGGGTGGGTCATTTACACGTCTCCGACGTTCGTGGCTCAAGCGCCTTCCAGAAAAGGCGTTTGCTTGTTTTGTTGATGCGGAGTGTTGGTGAATCGGTTGTTCCCTTTCTTTTGGGGTTCCTGGTTCGTCCCTCCGTTTGTCTGGTTATCAGCCGTAAGGCTTGTTAGTTTAGGGAACCTGAATCACCAACATTTCGATTAGGCCCTAACCTTATTTTCGCACTTTCACTGTTCTTCGTGCATGCCCTCAGAAGGATCCGAAGAGGTCGCTGACGATTGCGTCGCGACCGAGACGCCAGCGGGTGGAGCCGAGGCGGTCGCATCTGCCGCAGAAGACGTTGAGCAATCAGCTCCGTTGCCTGCCGGATCGATAGCTGAGGCTTCTGCCTCCTGGGCGGATCTGTCTGAGGTACAAGCGCCCGTGCCTTCTGGTATTGACTCCATCGTGACAGACTCTGCAGATCTACAACGATCACTGGTAAAGGTGAAGGAGGAGATCCACGAGGCCGAGAGCATCAGTGCAGTAATTTCAGCAATTGGTTTGCCGGAAGAGGTCGTTGACGAACCCGTCGCGACAGAGGATATCGAGGTTGAAACTTCATTGCAAGATCAGTCATTTTTGGAACCGCCATCTGATTTGGGTAACCCAGCAGAAGCAGCTTTCACGGACATTGATCGTGCAAAAGAAGAAGAAGTAGACCCTCGACAAGATTCTTCAACTCTTCTGGAACAGACCGAGTGCGAAGTTGACACAACAGATCTTTTGGGTTTAGGTGACGAGGCGGGTCCAGTAGGAGAGGCATCCGTTGCATCCGAACCATCTGCATCCGTGCCTGAGCCTGCGGTCGCTGACACATCCGGTGTCGCGACAGAAGCCAACACTAGTTGCCCCGATCAAATAGTCCCACCACCAACTAGCCCTAATCTTGTTGACCCAGGTGCCGATCCTATCCAAGTAGGACATTCCCCCGCTAGTTCATCAACAGCCCATCGACCAAGGGTTCGATCCAGCAGGGGGGTGCCACAACCAGGTGGCAAGAAGCAAAGCGAGCTTGGTGGAACGACTTCGAGGCATACCAAAATTGGCTTTACCATAACTCCGGAGGGGATATCGTAGGTGGCTTTTGGTTAAGAAAGATTCCTTACGAACAAGCCGACGAAAGCACTCGCTGGTTGATAGCTCTTCATTCAAGACTTGTTGAGGAGTTCCCAACATCACAGTGTTTAGCTTTAGCCTACCAGATCCTCATCCCTTACAAAGAGTGGGCTCACATCCACGGTTTGGACAGGCGCAGAGGTACTTCACACGCCGAGCAGGTGATAAACTCTGGTGATCTACCCCCAAAAAGGATCATTAACCAACGTATCTTAGGGGCAGAGCACCCGCGCCCAGAAGAGTGGGATAGGTATTATAGATACATAGGCCCACAGCAGCAACCCCGTCCGAAAGCGGTAAGGCCTGCTGCCGCAACACCCGTTGCTGGCGCGGCAAGTGGAGGCACAGTTCCGACTCCGGTCCAGCAAGGACCCAAAGAGCCTGGGCACCCACCTCCGAACTGGCAACCTTCTTTGAGAAGGCCACCTGAGCCAGCAGTGCCACCGCGTCCAAGGGTTACTGTCTCTGTCCATCCAGTCCCACAAGCCCCAAAGTCAGATTCTCAAGGGGTCACTGCCTTTGGGCGCGACGTAGCACCAGTCCCAGTTGCTAGCCCTGCTAAGCCACCAGCTAAAGCTAGGCCTAAAGCTCCTGATTCTAGTGCCACAACCCTTGCAGATAGAATTCAAAGTTTGCCACCTCCACCTAATAACATTTCCCCTAGTCCGCCTGCTCATAAACAACCACCCTTACCACCACCACCATCTCATCCGCCGCCAACTGCACAGGAGCTCGCTGCCCGCAGTTCCCAACCAGCAGAGGCGCGAGAAGAGACTGCTCCAGGGGATCCCAACGATCCGCCGCCTGAAGAGGAGCAGTGGGTGGAGGAAGAGGAGGAAGAGGAAGTTTTTGAGGAGGACCAGGTAGTTGAAGTTGAGGTTGAGGCTGAAGCAGAACCCGAATTCCCTGACTTTACCACAACTGAACACGGCCGTGAGGTTTCCACGCGCCGTCGTAGGCCTAAAAGAACTAGGTCCAATCCGCCATTGCCTGTCAATCTAGTCCCAAGGGAAACCCGTGAACGAATCGAACTTAGTCAAGAGCTTTATAGAGCCCGTGCCATAACCGGTGTTTCTAGAAGACCTCTTGCTTTAAGACCCCAAGTGCACGGTTACCCCGAAATTAGAATTGACTCCGCTGGCACCTGGGCTAGGGTCGCTGATCCTCCGATCGCGTACGCGCCGCAGACTTTGCCGTTTATTGTTCCTCACGCCGAGGCACCAGAGCTTGGGGTCAACCCACACGAGCTTCCCGACTCGTTGTGGCGTGATCCTGCACTTAGATCCCATCGGACTGTTCTTGGTTCAAGTAATTTAGACCCCAATAGTGTCTATAATATTTCCACCAATAACCCCGATACCGAATCTGAGGGCTCTGAAACAGCTGAGACTCGAACCGCCAGGTTTGTTTCATCAGGTCAGGCATTTGTCGGCCAGCAAGAACCGTTCGACGCTGGCTTCGCTGAGCGCACCCCTGCCCGTCCAATTGAGTCTCCACCAAAGAGACAACGCCCTAACATAAGAACCTCTCAAATCCAACGTGATAAGCCGGCACAGCCCAGAAAAGATCCAGTTTCTGCTGCACCAACACCACCTGCAGCCCCTACAGTACCATCTTTGACTGTTCCCCCATTAAGCAGTTCTAGTAGTTCAGCTTATCCTCCCTGGAGGCAGTCTTTGCAAAGTGCTGGAACTGGGGTCGCTGACACAGCCCGTGTCGCGACAGAAACTGCGTCAGAGCCAGCCGGCTCTCCCGTTGCGCGATCCAGATCAAGAGCACCCTCAGCCGAAACTGCGCCCGCAGTTGCTGCCAGAACATCAAGGGGAAGGGAAGTACCAATTTCAAATAAGATTTCATCTAAGTCTCGCAAAAGAGCTAGTTCCGTTCCTGTGCCAATCCGTGCAAAGGGGGCTGCTGTCCCCGACACGCCCCAAAGGCCAGAACCCTTACCACCAGCTCCAGAGAAAAAGAAGAATCTGCCTTGGAAACATCCACCTGT